GTGTGGTTATCATTAATTAAATCTATAACTATTATACATTTATCTATTCATGGGAAATAAAATAAAATTTGAAAAAGTTTAAGTTCAACTTTTAAAATTACTAACTGAAATAAAACTAAAGGTAAAACTAAAATAAAAAAAATTACACATGACAAAACATATAACCAAATGAAAAATAAACAATTTAAAATGAACAAAAATTAATAAAAACTATAATAGTATATAAATAATACTACAATAACACTAAGCAGAAATTACACTATTTAATTTAAAGATATAACATATACTTAATAATTACTGCAATGGAATTTATATTAATTTTAAATAAAATGTACTAAAATAATTAGAAATAAATAATTGGAAAATGAATTTATTTAAAAAAATGATTTGAACTTGCTCATAAATAAGTCAAATAGACTGATTTATACTTTGCATAGCAACTTCTGATTCTGTAATCCTATTATACATTTTTTAACAAATCAAGAAGTTTAAAAATACCAAATAAAAGGAAGTAAACACTATAACCGAAAGTACGCACTGTAATTTGGCAAGTCTGTGCGGACTAGGAATCATATTCTCTCAAATAAAGACCACATAACACTAATTTTACATACAGCACACAGCAAAAAAGCATTTGTATCCCTAACAACTGGAGTTAACTAGGTTTGTGGCATTAAATATTTATTAAATATTAAAATACTTATTTAAAATGCATTTTTGCTGAATGCATACAGTGTGAAAAGGTGTTACAGCATTTGCTGTTCAATTATCAGACAGAACTGTTAAATAAAGAAGACATTAAACGGATAGAGATGGAGAATGGGTGTCAAAATAAAAGTTCTGCATTCAACACTTAGTGGCCAAAAAGAAAACTTCCTAGCCGATGCCGATAATAAAAATAATTTAAAAAAAAGTACCACCAATCCACACACTTGATTTCAGTATGCTAGTGTAGGCGTCTGGACTTTACCTTGATGTTCTGAGCGTCGACATTAGCATTGGCCTCCAACAGCAGGCTGATGACGGTAGTGTTTCCAGCCAGAACCGCCCAGTGCAGAGCCGTGTTCTTATGATACTTATCACCCAGATTCACCGACACGTTAAACGTCAGCAAAAGCCGTGTCGGGTCAACACTGCAGAAATCCCATCTAATTAGCTTTACATCTGGCAATGGCAAAAAAATACATGTCCTCTCACAATACACACGCACCTGTGCATCCGATAAGCCGCCCACATCAAAGGGGTCATGCCATTCTGATCCATCATATCCACATCCTAGAGAATATGACACAGAGAAGACTTAAAAGAAAGATCAGACTGAGATCAAACACAGTGTCATCTTTCCTAGAGGTCAAACTTCCATGGATGGAAATGTCATAACGCCCCCTGCAGGCTGAAAATGGACTAAGCACAACAAAATGCATGATAAATCGACTCTTTAGCATGTTAATAAACAGTATTGAGTGATAGGGCGTCTTCCTGAGTAGCTCCACCCACAGTGAAATCTCATTGGCTCAAAATCGCAATCAAAATATTCTGATTGGCTGTGACTTTGCCAGCTTTTGTTTTGATGAGATCAGCACCCCACAGAGTGTTTTATAAGTGTTAAACAAGTGTACCTGTCCTTTGGCAATGAGATAAGCCACAATGGAGGTGTGTCCAAACTGAGTGGCCAGGTGCACACAACTGCATCCCTCGCCATCGATGAGAGAAGGATCAGCGCCGTACTTCATTAACTGCACCACCATGGAGAGATGGCCCTGTCTGAATGCGAGAGAGCAGACGAGAGGTGTGTGCATTAATAAAACATCACGCACGCACTAAACATACATGCAGTACTGGCATACTTGCACTATTTTTGCAGTGTTTTTGTATGCACTGAATAACTGGATAACCTATCACATCTCACAAACTACAACAGAGCACAATGCATCCCACAATGTAATGCACTACTATTTTACTACAGTCAGGGTTCCTCAAATCATGCTCTGGAGAGCCAATGCGCTGCAGAGTTTAGCTCCAACCCTGACCAAACTCACCTAGCTGTGATTTTCTAATGATCCTGAAGACATTGATTAGCATGCTCAGGTGTGTTTGATTAGGTTTAGAGCTAAACTCTGCAGGAAAGTGGATCTCGTGGGCCAGATTTGAGGATCCCTGTTTTACTATAATATACAGGCATGTACTATCATCATATTTATTTGTTTTACTTTAAAAAAAAAAGTTCAGTTCTCATTTTAAATTTATCTTATTTTTAGTTGAAATTTTAGTAATTTATGTTTTGTGTTTGTCATTTTTATTTCTATTTATATTTCATTAACTTAATACTTTAATTT